AAGCGAGTCCTAGAGGTTGGAAAGAAAAAGGAAGTGTTTGGCCGGAACACAACTGAACAATTTAAAATGCTGGCAGCTAGTGTTGCTGGTGCACTAGTGCATGGACTTGAAGATGAGTTCTTTGAGGTAACTTTTCTTGAACATTACTGCTTTATATGTATTTTACAATAATGATAAGATGTATGATGTATCTTTGAGGAAAGAGGTCTGTTGTTTAATTAAGTGGAGAACTTAGTCATTATTGGCTGCAACTATGTCGTAATAGCTTAAGAATTTCTATTTAACCTGAAGGTGCGAAAGTCTGCATGCCAGTCCTTGCAAAGACTTGCAGTCCTCTCCGCTGAGTTTGCTCATGAAGCTTTGAACATTTTAATGGATGTGTTGAATGATGATTCGGTGACTGTTCGATTGCAAGCTTTGAAAACTATGTATTATATGGCAACTAGTGGCTGTCTGAAGGTTCAGGAAAAACATTTGCACATGGTATGATTTTCATTCTTGATAAATATGTAGGCTGAATATCCAATATATGACTATATTTTATGGTTGTTGGGAGTCAAATTGATTTTTTTTTTTTTCAAAATAAAAAAGAAGGGTTTCCCCCCCCCCGGCTTAATTTTGTAGAATGAATCAAATAACTAATTTACTTGGTCACGTTGATCAAATCAATTACTAGGAAACTGTATAACCTTTGCAATAACATAATAAATTACCAGAGTCGTTCATGGCCCATAGGTTTAAGTTTTATGATAAAGCTTTTTCAAAGAGAGTTAGCGATTTCCATGATTTGATTGTGCAGATTATACCAGTTAGAACTGATAAGGGGTTTCTTTCTCCGATGGAATTTCGAAGATCCTTAGTCCTTGTCATAAATTTAAGGGATAAGGTGCTTAAACACCCGGGAAGTGTCTATGAAGGAGCACCTGGCACCTTGCACCTGGAAGTTTTTTTTTTTGTCTCCTATTTACCTTGAAAGTTTTATTTCGTAGCAAAAATATTTTGGCCGTTATCTGCTGTTAAGTTATACGGTTTGACCGATGCTTTTAACGGTCAAACTTAATGACAGGTAACGGTTTAGGATAGAAATACTACAAAATAAAACTTTCAGGGCATATAAGAGGGGGAAAAAAAACTTCCAGGTGTTAGGTGCTCCTTCGTGGATATTTTTGGGGTATTTAAGCACCTTATTTCTAAATTTAAATTATATATTGAATGAAAATTTCTTTTTGCTGGCATATTTTTAACACTCTTTTATCTGCTTGGCAAGTTATTATCTTGATCATGTTTAATTCTGTGCTCTTCCAGTTTATTGGTGTTCTAGCTGACAACAACAGGGAAGTGAGATGTGCAGCAAGGAAAATACTTAAACAAGTGAAGCTGAATAGTCTCTTGTTGTTTAAATCAGCAATCGATGGTCTTCTAGATAGTTTGAATATTTACCCACAGGTTTTCTTCTAATTATTCTGCAATTTTATCTTTTTGATTCTTAAGATGGGCTCGTGAGATTTTACAATAACATTAAGTTTTGGGTATGCAATTTATTGAAATGCTTACAAAATTTTATTTTCATCCTTGTCTGATCACTTTGTTGGATCCTTTCCCTGTTTTTGTTCAAAGCAGGCTGCCCCTTTTTAAAAGCATTTGACTCATCTTGATTCTTGAAACCAATATAGTCTCTCACTCACATTTTCAAAGTATTTCTCTCTCGGAGGGGAAACCCTAGCATGGACTGCATATCTTGCTATGCTATGGACGATTTGTACATCTTAGGCATGTTATCATGTTCTCAATCAAATCTAGATGGGATGATTTAGCCCTTCATTTTGCCACCCATTTTCCCGATTGGTGAGGGACTTATCATCACTGCATCCACTCTTTCCTTATGCCTTCCAGCTCATTATTATTTAGTATTTACTATCTCCTAAATGTTCACTTCAATACCCTATGACCATTGAACCTTACTTCCTCATTTTATCCATCTTGTCTATGCTATATGGATCTCATGCTGCTTAATTTTTTAATAGTTGAAGAAAGAGGCGAATACGCACACACAGAACAACAACATACTCTTTTTGGCATTTACTGAACTTTTAACTCCTGTTCATTTTAACATCTGCATACTCTCATGGCAGGACGAAGCTGATGTATTTTCAGCTGTTTCCCATATTGGCCGAAATCACCAGCAGTTTGTAGCCATTGTATCCAAGAAGTTTTTGAAGAGGTGAACTTGTTCCTTCTGATGATGATTATATAACATGCCCAGGAACTTCATGAACATTTTGCACGTCTTGTTAACATGAAACTAAACTTGGTTGACACTATAGTTAGAGGGCATCCTTAGAAATTTGGTATTGGAAGCAGCATGCCAGCTGTACTTACTGCTTAGAATTTACCCTTACAGTATTAGTTTTGTATATCTTTGGCTTATAAGATAAGCTTAGGTATCCATAATTTTTCGGGGGACAGATTTTGGCATTACATTTCAGCTAATGCTGCTGCCTGCTTTTGTAATATATCCCCGTAACAGAACATTGATAAATTCATTGCCATGTTCTTGTGGCAAAAAATTGTAGTATGGTTTTCAGTTTTTCATGATATCAATATCTAATGTTCTGGTATCAGAAGAATGCAACCTCATAGAGGGAGGAACAATGATTCATTTTGCCTGTAGTTTTCTCAAGATTGATTTATTCAACTAATCAAGGTGAATGAATTTTATCACCCAAAAATCTTATTTTTTGGCAGAGATAATTGAGATTAAGTTGATATTTTGCTACATCATTCTTTCAGGTAGAAGCAGCTTTTGAAGGCAACTCAGAATTCAATAGTGCGAGAGTGGCTGCACTTTTAGTCCTTTGTGTCTCTGCCTCACTCTCACGTGTAAATGTAGGCACCATACCTCCAATTTTGTTTTCTTACGCTGTTACACTCCTAGGGAGGATTTATTCTGCTTTTATTGATGTTATGGATAGGGATGCCCTTTTGGCCTACCTATCTGATAAAAGTAGATCTATTGGTTGTTTAGCCTCCGATATTAACCATGGTGAAGGGGAGCAACAATTACCCTTAGTTCAAGGTGATTACAGTTATTGCGCCAGCATTGATGTGACAAGTGTTGTTGAGACATCACACACAAGAGATGTGGAGTCTGAAACTCAGTCCCATTTTGTGAGGGAGCCAAAAGATATACTCAATTCTCAAGTAGAACAACGGCCAGTGCATGACGAAGTTATAAAGTTTACGGATCTTACTCTTTTGAAGGTCCCAGGTATCTGGTCCCTCATACAATCTGGCTTTACAAGCGAAGTTCTTAGATCCTAAGGTAATGTAGTTCATTGATATTTGTATCCTTTGGTTCTCATTCAATTTAGATTCCATCATATATCTGTATGTATATAGTGGCTGTAATTTATGTGGAGATTTGCTGATATATCTGTATGTATATAGTGGCTGTAAATTATAGCAGAATTTTGTAGTGATTCGCTGTCACAGTTCTATTCATTGGCACATAATTTTGTGAGTATTTAGATTCACATGCTCATCTTACACTCAGAACGTGGCTAGTTCATGGGGAACACCATCTGTTTGGGGGCCTGAATTGAAGATGTTTGTCCTGCGAGCTTATTTGCTATTGCTACATGACATTTGATATGTTTTGATCATTAAGCACATGCATGCATGTGAAATATTATCTTGATTTTCTTTTTAAGCGTTGAGTTGACAATGTAGGAGTGGGAAGGAAGATCTGGCAACTATGAGATTTGATACTATGGAATCTGCTGATGCTTTAGCATTTACTTTGCAATATCTTCGAATAATAAAGGGCCTTGCAAAAATTTGGGGAAATTTCTTCCAAGAGAAATTGATATGTTCTCGTGCAATGGGAGCAATAGACTTTGAACTGGCAAAGCTTGATAGGAGAGTTAAAGAATTCAGATATCGGTTCATAGGCTTTTCTCCGCAGGAGGAATTGAATGTCTTGGAGCTAATGTTGGTCACTTGTGTTCTTAGGCTGTGTAAAGTTGACGTATGCTGTCGAATTCCTTCATCAAAGAGGTTGACTGCAATATTTTCGCACGTAGAATTTCTCCTCAAAGAACGCTCTGCCATGCCATCCACATTCATAATTGAACTCAGGAAATTGTTATCTGAATGTGGCACCACCATAAATGACGCTTCCCAGAGTCATTTGGAGTTTTACAAGTGTCTCGAGTCATTCTCTCTGAAGCAGTTCGTATGTAGTGGAACAATTAGACATGTACGAGCGGAGCTAAGTATTCTCAGTAATGACTCTGAACACCCTCTTCCTTTCGTTTCGGGACTACCAGTAGGCATTGAGTGTGATATCACCCTCCACAATATCACCAATGATAACAGATTGTGGCTGAGCGTGACCATGAATGATGATGGTTCATCGCAGTATGTTTTTCTAGACTGGAAGCTTTTTGAAGGCTCTGGAGGTCAGGTGAGGAATTCTGCATTTGTTGCCCCATTTTATGGAACCCCAAAGGCTACTTCTTTCAGGATAAGGGTATGTATAGGCTTGGAATGTTTATTTGAGGATGCTGTTTCCTGGCAAACTTATGAAGGGCCAAGACATGAACTTATGTTTCTTTGTTCCGAAAAAGAAGTTTATCTTTCCAATGTACAAAAGACTAAATCTCATTCCCTTTAATAAAACATTGTAGTCTTGTTTTTTTGGTGGGATGACATCTGGAATTGTTGCGCCAGAAATTCCAAATTCCTATGTCAAAAGACTAAATTGTGTTCTTTACCTTCCTCTATGCAATAGTATAATTGCAGGCAATTTCAAATGATAATAAGCTGACTGAAGAGAAGAGAGATAGGATGGGCAAGGATTTCATTTTTGTTTTACCCCAGTCACAATCAAAAGGTCTTCAGTTTTAGTGTTTCATCACCTTATTCTTATCACTCGGACTATTCACAATAAGTACACATAAGTAACATGATGGTTTTAACAGATGTTTTCAGCTGGCTACTCAATATATAACTCCTCCGCCGCGCACTGTCCAACAAGAAATCCATTTCTTTTGCAGCCATTGAGGTTTCAGAATTGAAAGGCCGAAGAAGAGAGCTAAAACACATGCTACTGGGAAAAGGGCTCCAAAGTCTTCTATTGTCAAACTTCGTGTCTCCACACCACTTTTGAATTCAGATTTGTCAATAGTAGTGTTTAAGGATATCCTCTTCATCATCTCACCAAACATCACCACATTTTGAGTCACTTTTAATATTGCAACTGAAAACTTCGAGACCAAGGTAGAATTCTTTGGGAACGCCTGAAAATACAACATCGTACATCATCCAAGTTTTATAGGCCATGTATATGTTGGGGAGGACAGAAGAACAGTACTCACAAAAGCAAATCCAGCAGTTTTGTAGATTGGTCCTGTCATCTTGCAAGAAGGGCATTGGGAAAGCATGAGCATGAGATAAGGAGTTTCATCAAAAATAGCAACAATGCCTTTTTCTTTGTCTTCGTTTGATAATGCTTCCTTGTACTGTTTGGGGCTTTCTAAAGGCTTTAACCGAGTTGGATCGAATCCTATTTGGTGAATCAGAAGCTCTTTCACCCAGGAATTTTTTTGGTATCCCACGGACCGATTGTTCCTTCTGATCTCTTGCACGTCCCTCCATGGAGAAGGTTTTGCCGTTGTCCTCTCTGTTAAAATTGATGTTAAATTTGCTGTGTAAACTTGCACTGCTATGCCCAATAGAAACATGACCACTATCACCAACCATTTAGAATTCCCATTTTTCAAAAACTCAACATCTGCAATCATCACACACACAAAACGTTGATGATACACACTATGTCAGAGTACGAGGAAACAAGTTGATATATCGCACAACTACTACGCCTACCAAATTATCAGTTACTTTTAAGTTTTAACAAATGCACATAATTTTTTTTAAATAAAAAAAGTCTCAAAATCTTGATCCTGTTTCTCAATCTCTCTCTCCATCATGGTTCTATAGCAAGAGCACTATTAGGAAAAACATAAATTGCTTCATAGATTTTATAAAATCATCATTCATAAATAAAAACATAAAAAGATTCTCATAGTCACTGAACCAACAAAATAATATATATAATTAATACTACTTATAATTTTTAGGGGTGTTTTGATAAAAACATAACCATGGTTTTAAAAGTGCTTTTACAATATACAAAGTAAATATGTGGAGGAACTTATCTTGATTTGAGCGAAACTGCTTTTTAAAAGTGATTCTTGAGCAATCCAAACACCCCCTTAATATAAAAGTCAGATAACTAATTTGATGGTGATTATAAAATTAGTTAAATTAGTTATTCACAATAAATGCGTCTTTTTTTTCTGTATTATTCTCTTTAATCATGTGCATTAAAATTATCCATTGATTTGAAATCCTTTAATATATGTAATTAATAGGGATACTGTGAGTAAAATATTATAAATTTGGAAGGCAAAGTTAATTAAGATCAAACCTTTTGTCTATTTTTTTTTATATTTATGCACAACAAAAGATAACTCACCGGTCATGTAAATAAGGAAGGGATTACGGACATATTCTTTGTATTTGCTTTCTTCACATTCGTCCGCTGCTTTTTTTTCCAATGTGATTACAATAATAGTTGCAACCACAAGAATCGCAGCAAGAATTAACCAAAGTAACAAATCAAAAGGGCTGAAGAGGATCCACCTGCTTTTGGAGTCGGACCTCACCTTTACCACCATTGACACGCTTGAATCCAAATACGGCATTGTGAAATCAACACAATCTGTGCGACTCGCTAGAACTGTGATGTCTCCAATTATAACATCAAGATTCTGCAATATTTTCATACACGGATTAAGTGTTAGAAATGAATCCCTACATATATATAAATTGTGTGTTTGTGGCCAGCATGCTCACTACTGATGATATCAGTTATCAAGTGGAAAGATCTATCAACACACTTAATACCTCTCAATCATAAGCATATTCAGGGACAGACCTATGATATGTGTAGCCACATACCCCACCTAAATTTTTTGCTTCATTTGTAATATACATTCATTATACATGTAGAGCAGACTAATTTCTGAAAGAAAAAAAAAAATCTAACATTGCGTGCCCCCAATATGATTTTTATTTGTGCCTTTAGACCCCAATATTAATACTACCTCCAGTCCTTAATATAAGATCTCATTTGACTTTTATTTTGATCTTAAATATAAGACTCTAGTCCAGTTTGTCTCTTATATCTGTCTATTTTTTTAAGATAATCCTTCTAATAATAATAGTTCTAGCTAATGATTAACAAGGATATTTTAAAAAAGACAGTACTTATTTATAACAAATAACTAACTTAACTTATTTCCTTAATCTACTCAAATTAGTCAACTGGTTCTTATATTTATGACCGGAGGTAGTATTTTCTAGTTCCGTCCCAAATCATTTCCTGGGATGTTCTTGAGTATATCCAAGCTTCAGGGGGAATAAAATCATCAATGAAACTATGCAAACACATGCCTGACTTTCCTTTATGACAAACTGAGAAACATAAAAGCTGATGAAAGTAAAACAATTGATCGGAAGCAACAGAGATGAATGAAGACTTGCCTTGTCTGTGATATGGCAGAGAAGATCATTATAGGTGGAGGGAGTCAGCTCTCCATTGCTCACAGGCACAAACTCATAAGGTAAAGGAAATGGCAAAACATCAACCACTCTTTTAAATACATCAACAGCCAAGCCAGAAGTTGATACATTCTGCCCTTCTACACCCACATTAACATCAACAAATTGAGTAAAATGCGTCTTTGGGACCCCAATTTTCAACTTTGGTGGTCTCTCCGTCGTGTTACCCGGCCATATCGGGTCCCTTAGTTTGTATTTACCAGCTGGTTCGCCATTTTCACTGTAATTTTGAAAAAGTCCTATTTCGGGTCTCCAATACCCAATGATCCTTTCTTTTAGGCCTTCCACAATATTGTATACCACAACTTTTGATGGTTCTAGTTGTCCTAGCCTCAAACTGAAATTCCCTGACAGGCCTACGAAATTAGTAGCCAGAATTTTTCTGCGAAGTTTTGGGCCTGTTTCGTTGCGCATTCCTCCATCTTCAAGATCAACTCTACTTTCATTCCCATATCCGAAAGTAGAATCACCTAAGCTGGCCTTCTCTACCGCATTGGCCAATGCCGTGATAGTGTCGTAAGCCCACATGCCAGATAGAGAAAGAGTTTTATTGTACTCAAACTTTAATGTTCTCGCTAAGGAAAAGCGCTTAGCTATAATGCTGGAAACATTCAGTGATTGCCTCACAGAAACTGATGGCCTCACACCCAAAGCACCATCCATGTAGCCTTTCACTTTTATATCTCTAGCTTCCGGATCTATCACTGAGGATAAGCCTTGTGTAAGTATCCAAGCGTGTCCTTGACTCATCATCCCTTTATCTTTTGCATGTTTCACAAGTCTTGACCAAAGCTCCACCGTCATATGGGCAAGAAACACATATGTTCGTTCGGGTTTTATCTTGTCGAGCTCGCCGGCGATTTCAGAATCATTGGAACCTCGACGAATGCTAATTACGTTAGGCACTAGAGTGTCCATTTCTTGCAAGGCATAAGTGAGACATGGAATGAGGTCATTGCCGAAGTCTGGCTCTTCATAAATGGGGACCACAGACTGCCAATTATAAGCTCTGATAATGGCCGCGACAGCTTCGAACTGAAGGCAATGGCTTCTAGTGGAGCGGGAGTAGATGGAAAATGGGGAACGAGGTGGCAAAAGAGATGGACCAGATGGAGAAAACCAAATCACTGGTACATCGTACTGCTTACCAAGTTCTACAACATACCTTGCTTGCTCATAGTTTTGGGGTCCCAGGATTGCATGCACCTTTGTTCCATTTATTAGATCCCAAGCTGCTTAATGCCAACATTGCCAAGTTAAAGGGGGAAAAAATGGTATGCGCAGGATTGCTTGATGCCAATGATCCTTTTCAATTTATTTTATGAATATATACCTTCAATATTTATTTATTCTTATTAATGCATATTAAAATCTGTAAAAATTCAGATTATTTGCTATTTTTCTTTAATCTATGTACTCCTCTCATCCTATTTATAGGGTATTTTCAGTATATTTCACATGAACTATTGAAAATCTTAAACTACTGCATTAATTCTACCAACAATATAATGATTTTCTAACTTTACTTCTATTTAATATATACACTTTTCAAGAAAATCACAATTTATATTACTACATCCTGTCCTTAATATAAGAGTTAATTGACTAATTTGATTAGATTAAAAAAGTTGGTTAAGTTAGTTATTTATAATAAATATGTGTTGTCTTTCCTAAAATATTCTTGTTAATCAAGTGTATTGACTATAACTATCATTATTACAAGAACTATCATGAAAAAATTGATAAATATAAAAGACAAAGTGGATTAGGATCTTATATTTAGGATCAAAATAAAAGTTGAATGAGATCTTATGATTAAGACCGGAGGTAGTATAATAAACGAAGTACAAAATAGTACTACTTCTGGTCTTTAATATAAGAGCTAATTTGATTTTAAATTTGTTCCTAAATATAAGACTTCAATCCATTTTATTTTTCATATTTATCCATTTTTTCCCATGTAGTCCTTGTAATAATTTCACATGTTAAATGTTTAATCAAATGGTAGTTCAAGGTAATACACATTATTAGTATTGGTATTTTAGAGAAAACAATATTTATTTGTTATAAGTAACTAACTCAACAAACTTTTAAAATTTATTCAAATTAGTCAATTAGCTCTTAGATTAATAACTAGAGGTAGTATATTTATGTCAAAAATTTAATAATGTGAAATTGTTTATCACACACAACAGAGGGAGGAAGAGTGTTGAGTTATTAGCTGAAATTTGGGCGAGGGACATCTGCAAAATAGCTCTTGTGCACGATATGTATTTAACTCTGAATATAAAAATTAATTTGATATTTAATTTGATATTAAATATAAGACTTTAATCTATTCTATCTTCAATATTTATCAATTTTGCCCTCAAGTAATTCCTATAGTAATTACATATATTAAGGAGTTACTATCAATGGGTAATTTAAACATACAAAATTAATAAGGGTATTTTAAGAAAGACGACATTTGTTTACTACAAATAACTAATTTAACTAAATTTTTTAATCTTTTCAAATTAGTCAACTAAGTCTTATATTAAGAACAGAAGGTAGTACAAGCAAGAGGTTTTTAAATTGAAAAAAAAAAATGAAGCTTTAGCTCGTTTAATTCGCAAATACTTTGTAAAGTTGATATAAAAGCCAGGCAGATGAGAAGAAAAGATGTTCAGAGACTAGGAGACTGCTCATGACGGTTGAGTTGATTAATAAGAAATTCAATAAACATATCTAGCTAAATAATATTTGAGTTCGAATTTTACGAATATATAAAACAAATTTAGGCTGAACAATAATATTTTTTTTTGAAACTTTAACCCGTATATAAATAACCAATTTAATTTTTTTTATGTAAATAACCTCTTCAAATTTGAAGTCACGTGTCTATGACAATTCTAATCTTAAGTCACGTATATTTGAATTTTTTAATAAAGACAAACTAAACTAACAGCACAGGTTTATTTGCTTTAATGCAAAAGTTCGAGGGTCTATTGCAAAATTTTAGAAATATACCCACCTCCATACAGCCTAAAACTTGGGAGGTTATATATATAAGTTACCTAAAAGAATTATGTTGGGAGAGTTTTAACCTGAATCTACAAATATTGGCCTATGTCGTTGGATACCGGTTATTAAAAAGAAAAATACAATCATGAGAAGCACTGCTACCTCCTCTAATTGATATAAAAGCTAATTTGACTTTTAATTTAGTCTCAAATATAAAACTCTAATTTACTTTACTTTTCATATTTATTTATTTTTTTTCAATGTAGCCTTTATAATAATTGAACATGCAAAATATTTTATCAAATAATAGTTCAAGATAATATGATTAGTAAAGATATTTTATGAAAGATAATATCTATTTATTATAAATAATTAACTTAATAAATTTTTTAATCCATTCAAATTAATTAATTAACTTTTATATTAAGAATTGGAGACATAGCAGTAGCTTCTAAGCCAAATAGGGGCCGGCGGATCAGGAATTCTATTTCCATTTCATCAACAAAGAGAAACACCGTGGCAGAACAAAACTCGCACTTCTACTAATTTGACAGACATTAAACAGAAATGAAAAAAAGAAAAACTTAGTATCATGATTGTTTCCTTTTTCTTTCTGGGACATAAACATCAGTAATACTTGACAGTTAGGATTACCTGCAGAAGCTGCAGTGAGGAGATCGCCATGGGAATCCCTGAAATGAACTTGGAGCTTTGTTTCATGGGAAGACTCTGAGGAATGCAAATCTTGGAGTCCGATGTTGATGCAATCATGAACCGTGGGACCAAGTGATGAACTCAAATCCAGAATCACTCCGACTGGTATTGTTCTTACAGTTGCAGACTCAGCTAGGGCACTTAGGCACAGTAAGCCCGCAAATAAGAGAAAATCTCTTTGCCTCTTCTCCATTTCTGCAGTTTTCTGCTATTACCTTTTACTTCTCTCCTCTCACTCTCTCCTCGACTATTACTATATACATTGAAGATAGAGACTTCATTTTTTCTGACCGGGTGAAGTGGATTTTATTGGTATTCACATGGCAAAATTCATCAAGGGAAAATTTCCCTTAAGGACCGCAGCAGAGAATTAATTTTAAAGAGCCCTAAAGACTTTTTGAAACTTCACTGCAAGACCAAGGGGCAAACTGATATTAATTCCACAAAAAAATGACGTTATTACCCCTCATAATACTTATTGCAGGGTGACATGTAAATGGACTAATTTTAGTTATAAATAAAGGTATGTATGTTGCAAATTGACTAGTCCCACTTGCAAATAGGCTCTCTCATACTTATTTACTCACAGATACCTTCTTCAGGTGAAGGAGGTGACACGTGAACGAACTAATTCCAATTGTAAATAAATGTATGTATGTTGCAAATTGACTAGTCCCACTTGCAAATAGGCTTTCCCACACTTGTTCACTCACGAAGACCTTCAGGTGAAGGAAGTGACATATAAATTGACTAATTCCAGTTGTAAATAAATGTATGTATATTGCAAATTATCTAGTCCTACTTGTAAATGGGCTGTCCCCCACTTGTTCACTCAGACACATTCTTCAGGTGGAGGAAGTGATATGTAAATGGACTAATTTTAGCTGTAAATATATGTATCCATGTTGCAAATTGTCTAGTCTCACTTGCAAATAGGCTCTCCCACACTTGTTCACATGAGGGGTAATAGTATCATTTTCTTTGTGAAATTAATATCAGTTTGCCCCCTTAGTCCTGCAGTGAAATTTCAGAAAATTTTAAAAGTTCTTTGAAATTAATTCTGTACCGCGTTCCTTAAACAAAAATTTCCCATTTATTAAAGTCTATGCTAGTAGGTGAGTATAATCGTTGTCGCTACCAAGACCGTTTCTTTCACAAATTAGTAAATTATGAGCATATAAACTAATATCTATAATTGAAAAATTATATGGACCCAATAAAAATAGAAAACACTGTAAGGTTCTAATTAAAAACGAGGTAAATATGTGAATTAATTTTTCCTAAAATTTGCATCAAGAAGTTTTCATTTTTCACTTATGAAAAGTCCAACGGAATCTTGTGAATTTTTTTTAGGGAAAGCCATATTGAAGGTACCTATACTTTCTCTCAATTTTTAATTTGGTACCTATGTGTTTTTTTTCTTTTAATTAAACATTTAATTTTATCTTTTTAGTAACATTAGCTCTTATAACTTTGTTCTATTGATATTTTTAGTCTCTACATAAGGATTAATGATGTTAATAGAGCAAAATTAAAGATTTAGTTAAGAACAAAAAACACATAGGTACCAAATTGAAAATTGAAAAAAAGTATAAGTACTTCCAATATGGTTTTCCTTTTTTTTTTATCTAACGAACATTTATCAACATTATTAATATATTAGTAATTTTGTTTAAAGATTTTACTACTTATAGCTTATTTCTTAAATTTTTTTGCCAGCTATTTCTTAAATTTTATATAAAGTACAAAATCTGCATTTAGTTACAGAAGTACAGGAGCCAGGAGGGAGTGAAATTGTAAAGAGTTGAAATAATTCCTACATCTTTTATTATAGGTCAAAATTTTCCAAAACACATTCAAAGAAAATATTAAAATACATGTAATGCATAAAATTTGGTTTCTCATTTCGTTCTCATCCACTCTCAATTAAAGCCATATTTATTGTAGGAGTTGTTCAATATAAGTGACTTGTAAAACATTTTAGTATAATAATAAATGGATTAAATTGAAAAAAAATTTAATTTTATTTTTATCAAATTTTTTTTGTATTTACAAATTATTCTCAAATTTTTTTAATTCTCTCTCTTTTTAATAAGAATTAAATAAAAAATAAAAAATATGCATTAAAAATATTATAAGTGAGTTATGTTTGGAACCTAAATTTATTCCTACAAGTCACCAACCTTTAATAGCCAAGAAGTGACATGCTTTATAAAAGCACTCGTATGAATCAGTGGAACTCATTATTACGATGGCTGCTATAAAAATGAGTGGGGTCTGCGAGGGACACGCGTGCAAGAAGGAGAGGAAGAGAGAAGAAAATGAGAGAATAAGTTAAAAGGCAAAAGCAGAACAGGATGAGAAATGGGACAGGGGAGAACAGAGGCCTGGGCCGTATTTTGCATTCGAAAGGCGTGCCTCTTTGTCTCTTAACCGCGCTTTCCACCTCACCACTTTGCTTTCTTCGGAGCATCCTTTCTTATTTTGGATGAATGAACCCATTTGTTTCCACTAAAGAATTGACACATTGAGAGGGGGCCAAGATATATGTCGTACATATAAAGAAAGAGAGGATGGAAGAATAATTGAAGTTAGAGGTTTGAAATTTTTGTTGCATGATGGAGACAATAGACAAAAACGTACAGCTACAAATGTTATTTATAGGAAGATATTTAGAAATTTGTAGGTTGGAGGCTGAAGAATGAAGTAAAAAGCAATTGTATTGGCATCAAAGTAATTGTTGTAATACGTATGGCTATGACGTTATTGCTTGATGGTAAAATTGTAAGTTCTTGACTTTTTATTCAACTGTGATTCTTATGCTCAGTTAGTGTTGAATGGTCAAAGTATGCGCTGTGGAAGTTGATGTGTATGTTAATAATGCTAAGTTGAGTGGAGATTATTTGTGAGTAACGATGATGTGTTGATTGTACATTTTCACAAAGTATTGAGTAATGAAATGTGGAGTGATTTTAGAATAAGTGGATCATATGTCATATGCTTGGGGTGAATTAATATGAGAAAGAAATGGGATAATTGATGTGAGCATCCTGTGTGGGGCTACCTTGCTATTTATTAAATGAGTTAATGTAATTTTTTATTTCTAAAATTTGAGCCTTTTTAATTTTGGTCTTTCAAATTTCAAATCCATGGTTTTAATCTTTAAAATTTAGTCTATTTTACAACTGAAGGTGCAACAATGTTAAAAGTTGCTGAAATCTCATCAATAACGTCAAAAGTGGTGATATGGACTCACCAGATGACACCTAACTGGATTTTATACAGATAACAAAGTGCAGCATAGTGAATAGCTCTTGAAAATGACTAGTGAGAAAGAAAAAATAGGAGGCTAAAAGATGCATTTTGAGGACCTGTACGTTCTTTTTTCCCCTTCCATTATTCACACAAGATCCAACTAGTTAGGTGCCATTTGGGTTTAATTTATTGTTTATGATACTTTAATAGATTTTAACATTGTCACACTCCTGGGACTAACATTTTAAAACAAACCAAATTTCAAGACTAAAACTACATGTTTAAAATTTGAGAGATTAAAACTAAAATAAACCCAAATTTTAGAGATAAAAAATTATGTTAACCCTTATTAAATAATAATGTAACATTGATTTCTAATTTTTTAGAATGGTACAATATTATCCCTACCACTTAAAAAGGCAATACTTGCGAGTTTTGTGCAACTCATCAAGTATTGATCGTACTCCATTTTGACACGCACATATCAATAGGCACAGATTTTAGTGAGAAGGGTTTTAACCACTTAAACATAAGTTCGCAAGTCCATGTAAATGTAAAAAACACCCAAGAGTCATATCTCTTGCAAAAGAAAAGAAGCTTTAGAGAGAGAAAGTAGAGAGAAGTGCTATGTTTTTCCCACAGCTGATGTTAAACGAATTGGGATCCCAAAAACAGCCACCTAACTGCCCTATGGGTAGGCCAATGAGCTGCCATGGATCTCCAAGCCCCATTCCTAGTACGAAGGATAGTGAGGGAACTTTGGTCTCTTCATCTTATCCAATGCTGAGACAATCACAACAGGTAGAGAAGGAAAACAAGGAGGATGGAGGGAAGGTTCAAACGGTTATAGGTAACTTCACCAGAGAAACGTCACTAATAGCCCGCTAGGAAGACTAGATGATCGATGATGAAATCGAAACATTGGGTCACAAAGAAGAACCCATGTTGTACAGGGAAGCCCTGGAGCCAAAGGCTACGACAGAGGGCCATGAAGCGAGATAAAAGCTAGGGGAGGACACATGGGATGGGAACCTACTATTAGCAAACCCAGAAGAGCTACTAGAAGGGGTCACCATAACAGACACCATCAAAGGATTGAACATTGAGTTCTCAGAGAAAGAAAAGCGTCAGCTAGAGAGAAAATGGGAGATGACTCTCATAATAAAACTTTTGGGAGGCACGCTAGGCTTCATGCAGATGAGAAGGAGGGTTCAAGCGATGTGGGGTAAGATTGGAAAAGTAGAAGTAAACGACATTGGCAATGGCTACATGACGGCGTCCTTCCAAGCCCTCGATGATTACTATTTTACATTGGAGGGTGGTCCTTAGCTCATCCAAAACCATTATCTCACAGTGCAAATATGGAAATATAATTTCAACCCTTGGAATGAGAAGATCCAAAGACTAATAGTATGGGAGAGGCTTCCAGGTCTGCTAGGAGACTACTATGATAAAAAGTTCTTTTATAACTTGGGCAACAAGATAGGAAGAGCCATAAAGGTTGATGAAATGACACTCACAAAGGCTAGAACTATGTTCACACGAATGTGTGTAGAAATAGACCTCTCTGCCCCCCTCCTACCTCCCATTTATTAGATGGAAACTGGCTGAAAATAAATATGAAGGATTGCATTTGATCTGCTTCAACTATGGGAAATTGGTCATTGCAATGATTGGTGCCCATTGAAGATGAACCAGGAGGCTACTATGATAAAAGGTGGACAAGGCAGTAGAAATAACCAGGAAACAAAGGAGGCTGCAAGAAACCTACCACCGGAACACAGACACCAGCAAACCCCTTCAGTGAATATATGGTGGCACAGGTTCCAAGGTGGGGGAGGAAGACGTCACCAAGGGAGAGTAGGGAGGCAAAAGGACAGAGGAAAGCTATCAAAGGAGAGAAAGGAGTTGGTATTGTTTCAAAGTTTACAGTCCTGGAGATTGAAGAGGAAAAAATATAGAGAGAGAAAAAGCAAGGCCAGCTGAGATAAGGGCACTTATTGATATAATAAACGAGCCCCAAGAAATAGGAGCAGAAGTAAGAGAGTGTGTACATGTGAAAAAGAAGACTAAGGATATAAAAAAGGTGTCAGACGGGAAAGACGAGGTAGGGAAAGAGTTGACTAACAGTGAGAGAAAAGAGGAGAAAAATGGAGGCAAAAGGGGCAGAGGTACCTCGGGAAATGAATAAAATACAAGAGTTTAAAGAAGGGAAAACAAAGAAAGGAAGACGGATGGAAAGAATAAAGGGAAGACTACTAGAGGAGTGGAGAGCAAGAAGGCCCAACATGGAGGAACTTCTAAGCCGAAGGAGCAAAGAAGAGGAACTGAAGAGCTCAAAGTTAACAGAAACATGGAAGATTGCGAGGAGACCAACAAGTGGGCCATTGAATCGAGGAAAGAAGTGAACATTAATGAGAATGGAGCCAGGTAGGTATAAGGAAATTTAAGTGCATGGGAGACAGATGGAATGGACTTAGAGGAAGGTAACTTGTAGTGGAGCAGCTGCTAAGAGAACATTGCCACTTGATACTAGAAAGTGTTCAAGAGCAGAGAAGCTCCTGAATGGAGATATAAGTGTTAACCTGACGGGGATTGTTTCCTTTCTTGTTATTTGTCTAAATGATAGTTGTATGGAATGTAAGGGGGGCAGCCGGTAAGTCTTTCGGTCATGCCTTGAAAGAACTAGTTAAAAGGATGAAACCGTTACTGGTAGTGTTAGTAGAAACCAGATGCAATGGTGAAGTTGCACAAAGGGTAATTAAACAGCTAGGATTTAGTAGAAGTCATATAGTCAAAGCATAAGGTATGTTCGGTGGAATGCTGCTAAGGAATGATAATTACATTACCTTTAATTAGATTGAGTGTAGCAAAAAACATCTCCATGGGGAGGTCAAGGGAGTAGGGGAAATTGATTGGTTCTTAACTGCAGTGTATGCTAGCCCGAAAGAGATGGAAAGAAGAGAACTCTAGAGTAAACTTGAAAAAGTCTCAAAAAATACCTAGGGTCCTTAAATGGTCATTGATGATTTTATCGATAGGAAAGAGCTAGGAGAATAGAGGGGAGGAAAGAATCCGAATGAGAAGAAGTGTAGAAAATTCCTCACTAATATTAACAACTATAAACTAATTGATATGGGAACAAAAGGCCAAAGATTCACTTAGAGGGGGCCTTTAATTAAACCAACAAGAAGAATGTATAAGAAACTTGACAGAGCTTTATACAATGAAGCCTAGAGGAATGCATTCAATGAAGCCTTTGTGAGAGTTGGGTCGAGAGTGGAATCTAATCACCACCCACTCTTCATCTCCCTCAAGATCCCGAAAGGAAATAGGAATGATAGGCCTTTTTGGTTTGAAGCAGCTTGGTTGAGACATACAGATTTCAGGAGGGCCTTAACAGAAAATTGGGTTGGATTTGTAGAGGCCCACAAGCAAATGAATGAGCTGAAGGAATACCTACAAGTGCGGAACAAAAATACATTCGGTCACATTACCCAAAGGAAGAAAGAATTGATTAGAAGAATTCAAGGAATTCAAAGAGTGACTAGTGAGAAGGAAAATAGGTACTTGGAGGATCTTGAATGGAAATTGCAGAAAGAACTAGCAGAAGTCCTCGAATAGGAAGAAATCTTCTGGTTTCAAAGGTGAGAACTAACTAGTTAAATGATGGGGAATAGAAACATTGCCTATTACCATACCAAAAACCAATATTAGACGATGGAAGAATAGAGTCTCAATTTGCTAAATGAGGAAAATGAAAGAATTGAATGGAAAGAGGAGACAGGGTGTGTGTGTTTATAAATTATTACTTCCAAAAACTGTTCTGTGAAGAGGAGAATAACAGAAAGTGGACCAATACTATTCACAGGTGGTCGGAGATCAAGGGCAAAAAGCGTGCAGAACCGTGATGAATATGTGGGAGAAGCCAGAGAACTAGCAGAGATTAATGAGACATTAATCACCCTCATACCCAAGATAAAAACACCTAGAACGATTCAGCCAATTGAGATCGACTTCACTTTGCAATGTGATTTACAAGTGTCTCCAAAATTATGGTGAAAAGATTGAAGTTAATACTCCTGGATATAGTCTCACCTTACCAAGTTAGTTTGTACCAGGAAGGGATTCATGATAACATTATTATTGTCAATGCGTTGATTCAATCAATGAGAGGAAGAAGAAGAAAGGAAAAAAGGGTTTTTATGACAATAAAGGTAGACCTAGAGAAAGCTTATGACCGAATAAGCTGGAAATTCCTAGAGGAAATTTTGAAGGAGATGAAGTTCCCAGAAGAAACCAAAAAAGAATTATGGGGTGTGTGAGCACTATGTCAACTATATATTCTATGGCATGGTGAGAAATTAGAGGGCTTCAAAACCTCCAGGGAAATTAGACAAAGGGACCCCGTCTCCCCCTACTTCTTTGTACTCAGAATGGGAAAAACTCACTCACTTAATCCTTGGTAGTGAGAGAGAGAAACAGTGGAGAGGATTGAGAGCTAGCTGGAAAGGGCCAATGATATCACATATGATGTTTGCTGACGATCTCGTTCTTTTTTGCAGAGGCAGACTTTAAAACAGATAGATATTATACCTAATTGTTTGTAGGAATTGGGAGAGATGTCGGGACATAGAGTGAGTCATGAAAAGACGTATATTTACTTCTCTCCTAATGTAGGTGGCATTCCAGAAGGGAAATTTGCTAGAGAAGTGGTTTCAAACAAGTAGAGGGAATTGAGTAGATACCTGGGGCAGACATATCCTTTCCAAAAGACGAAGAATGAAGTATAAAGATGTGGTTGGCAAGATAAAGAGAAGACTGAGTGGATGAAAGGCATCAAGGTTATCAATGATGGGCAGGATAACTTTGGTTAAATTAGTCACCAACTCCATAGCAATCTACCCCATGCAGCATGATAAAATCCCCATGACAGTAGTTGAGGAAATGGAGAAGAGTCAGCAAAATTTCATTTGGGGAGAGGAAGGCATGGAGCATACCTGGCATGCAGTGAATTGGGAAACAGTGTGTGACACCAAAGAGAAAGGGGGGTTGGGCATAAAGGCAATTAAGACCATGAATAATTCCTTTATCATGAAATTGCTATGGAGGTATAGTAAAGACCCAAATGCACTATGCGTTAAAGTTTTGCAAGGAAAATATGGAAGAGAAGGGGGTCCAGTAAATCGGTTAGAGGCAAAACCAACTGACCCGAGACTATGGAAGGAAATGTGTAAGATGTGGGATGAGTTCATGGAAGTAACAGTTACAGGAGACACAAGAATAAGCCTGAGGGAGGCAGAGAGGAAATGGAGCCTAATAAGCAATGGAGAGTTTACAATGGCTTCAGCTTATAAATGGCTTAGGGGGACTGACCATAATGGGAGTTTGAACCAATGAAATCGGATCTGGAAACTGAAAACACCAAAAGAATAAGGGTCTTTATGTGGAGAGCAGTGCATAAGAAACTACCTACTAAGGAGCTAACTAGGAGATGGGATGGGGGCTGAGGATGGTGCCTAATCTACAACAGTGGCATTGAAACACTGTTACATGCCCTTAGGGATTGTCCGTACGTAACATCCACATGAAGGAATTTAGTACTAGCACAAAAAAAGACACTCCTTCTTCAGACAGGAGTAGGTAATGTGGTTGCAAAGGAACATTAATAAGAATGACAGGACATAGAAGAAAATTAAATGGCCGGAATTGTTCATTGTAGCATGTTGGCAAATCTAGAAATGGAGAAATCAGTTGATACACTCACAAGGCTTTGAGATCCCTGTAAATCCTTGACAGACCATTATGAACTACCTGGAATTTTAGCATCACAAGTGGGCAGAGGAGATGTCGGAAGTAGCTGAAAAATCATAGGACCAACCAAATTGGCGAGTACCAAAGTTGGGATGGTGTAAACTAAACACGGATGTGACAGGTACTTTAAACGGATGGAATAGTTATGGTGGAATAATTAGAGGAGATAGTAGAGAATGGTTAGGAGGATTTACTATCAAAATAATGGAATGCAGTGTACTAGAGGCAGAAGCCAGAAGTCTACTAGAAGGATTAGAATTATGCTGGAATTTAGGATTTAGGAAAGTAGAAGCAGAGTGTGATGCAAAGAACATGGTGGAAGCAATTTTGAAAGGAAAGAGCACGAAAGGAAGCTGCCATGTCTTTGAGAGAATCCAAGAAATATTGCACTTAGAGTTGCAAGTAAAACTGGTACATATCAGGAGAGAATGCAACCGCTGTGTTGATAAACTGGCTACTATGGGCTTGGAGTAAACAAGAGCAAAAGAGTTCTGGCAGGCACCACCAAAAGAATGCATACCAGTGATACAGGAAGACATTGCTGGGCTTGAGAACGTTAGTTAGGCGTACAATTACCTTTAGTGTTTATGTGACTTTTCCTTTTTTCACTAAAAAAAAAACACCTTTAGGAGAACTATTTCCAATCAGGCTTGACAATGCTGAAATATGACTCAATCAAATAATCATACCAAATATATGTATAATTTAGGAGATGATTAACATGGTAGCATATTATTATTTATAAGAGGCATTTCTTTTTAGTTATTTAAAAAGATAAGTATTAATTGCTTGAAATTATAAGTTCCACTGAGCATGTCAAGTCCATTGACGTGTTTTTTTTATTAATAGTTAATACATGTTTCTAGTTGGCCATAAAATAAAAAAAGACAAATTATAGTAAGGAGCTTTATATACACTTGTATCACACGTTTAATAAACAGCTACTGATTAACCAGCTAGCAACTCCTACTGTAATCAAGCCTTAGCTAACTTGAAATGCTGCTTCTTATTGCGCAACCATTCAATCACCAACTGTTTCAGAGTGGAAAGCTTCCTAAGCAACCATGTAATCACTGGCAATGGATTCAGAGACCGTTTAATCACTGATGGATTTATAATGGAAAGGCCTAAAGAGAGGGCCACAAGAGATGATAGGACAGGGTAAAGGCCTCCGAAGTTAGTTATGCTCAAACTTGATGTCTCTATATCACTTTGGTCTTCAAATTCCAAATCTTCAATGGAGGTGGGTAAGGAGCTCTTGGCCATTAATAGTCGATATGACTCCACATCTTGAATCACTTTTAAGATTGCATTCGAGAAATGCGAGACCAGGCTAGATTTCTTTGGGAATGCCTGAAAAAACAATAAATATATAGCATCTCCTTAAAGTTTTATAGACCAAACTAGTGATATATCATACTTTATGGTTGGCAAATGATTTAATTTGACAGCCATTAGGTAAAGTTATAGTGCACAAGCCTTATGGATTTAAATATATATATATATTGAAGGTTCTCTCTCTTTTTTTTTAAAGACTTAACAATGACAAGATTTGAATTCAATTCACATGTGGATTCTAAATAGATGCAATAAAAATCTTAATCCTAAAATTTGGGCGTACTCTCTCCCATCCTAATTATATGTCAAGGTTTTAAATTAAAGCCCCACTTAGTCTTAATTAAATGTAGGGCAAAAATGTGATAATCAAAACTTTTTAATCTCATATCCTTCCTTAGTAGTAATAAGTTGGTCACATGCTTCAATTCTTAAATAACATTTATGTGGGGTCATTAATTTAATAATATTAATATTTTTACATAAATTACCTTCAAAACGTGAAATTAATTAGTTAACTTTACCCTGTAGTAATTAAGAAGAGTGGAGCAAGTAGACTTACAAAAGCAAATCCACCGGTTTTGTAGAGTGGTCCTGTCATCATGAATTGAGACTTGTATTTGGAGAGAAAGAGTGTGAGATAAGGAGTTTCATCAAAGATAGCATCTATTGTTCCATTTGACAATGCTTCATTATACTCTTCACGATGTCGTAAAGGCTTTAACTGCTCAGGCTTGAATCCCATTTGTTCAATCAAAAGCCCTCTCACCCACGATCCATCTCGATATCCCACATGCAGATTGCTATTCTTAATAAGCTCTTTTTCGTTCTCAAATGAAGGCACTTTCGTCTTTCCTTGTGTTAACATTGAAGTTAAACTTGCTGTGTAGACTTGCACTACCAAGATGAATAGGAATGACGTCAGTATCACCATCCATCCTGCAGCTCTGCTTTTAAGTTTCTCCATAGCATCTGTCATAGAGTACGTACGGGGCGTAAATTGAAACATAATAACATATATAATCAAGCTATATATACATATGTGTGTGTGCACGCTCTACATAAGAGATGAACTAACCGATCTTGTAAACAAGGAAGGGGTTGTAATAGAATTCTTCAGTTTTTTTTCTTCCTTCACTGGTTTTGGTGGTTTTGTTTCTTTCTAATATGATTATGATAACAGTTGCACCCATAAAAACGGCAACAAGAATTAACCACAGTAACCAGTTGAAAGGTTTCAAGAGGATCCATTTACTTGTGGTGTCCTTCTTCACCCTTACCACCATAGCCACTCTTGAATCTAAATACGGCAACGTGAAGTCAACGCATTCTGTGCGGTTTTCCACAATTGTGATGTCTCCAATTATAGCATCAAGATCCTGCAATAAATATTTTCACACACAGACCAGGTGTGAAGGTAAAAAGAAGAAATTGTATAAGCATTGTTAAGTATACCGGTATCATACCTGACTTTTCATTATAAAATAAAAGAAGAAACAACTTAAAAAGAAAAAGAATGAAAACTTGCCCTCACTCTCAGCAATTGGTTGCAGAGAAGATCATCAAAGGTTATGTCAGTACTTGTCAAGTGAACAAACTCATAATTATTTAATGGAAATGGCAAAACCTGCACTGCTTTTAAGAACACATTAACAGCAAAGCCACCACTATCAATCTGAAGCTTACTTAAATTATATGCACTCACAAATTCATGAAAAGAATTTGTTTTAGGGACTCCAATTCTCAACTTGGGTGGTTTATCCAATGTGTCGCCCGGCCATAGTGGATCTTTCAGTGGGTATTCACCATCAGATGTCTTACCACCTTTACTACAATTTTGAACAAGTTTAGTTTTAGGGCTCCAACATCCGATTATCCTTTCTCTGTCTCCTATCACATTGTATACTTCAAGCTCTGATTGATCTAGTTGTCCATTTCTTAAATTAAAATTTACCCCTGACTGGCTTTTGAAATGAGTAGCCTCCTGAATTATTTCTTCGCAGCGAAGTTTTATGCCATTGTTTGCGCCTTGCTTCTCCACCACCGTAGCCAATACTTCGATTGTGTGATAGGCCCACCATCCATAGACAGTTAGGGTAGTCCTGAACCTATCAGTGAAATTCTTCTCTCTCCCCCTACGCATAGGTGTTTTTTTGGGGATCAAATCCATTGGCCTCACTCCCAATGCACCTTGCATGTATCTTTTCAAAGCAACAGGATCAGTAATGTTCCTATATATGTTTTGGGTATAATACAATCTTCTGGTAGTATTAACTCGAGGATCTGTCAAAGAAGATAGCTCTTGGGTAAGTATCCAAGCATATCCTTCACCCATCATGTCTTGTTCTTCTGCAGAAAAAACAAATCTTGCTCCGAGATCCATGCTCATATGGACAAGAAATACATGTGTGCGCATGTCCTTTAACTCGAGGAGAATGTCGTCAATTTCAACATCTGATGAATTTGAATCAACAGCAATTACATCAGCCATTCGTATGCCCATACCTTTCAAGACATTGGAGAGGCATGGCACAAGGTGACTGCCATATTCAGTGTCTTCATAAATGGGGACGATTGATTGCCAACCAAGAGCTTCAATAACCTTAGCGATGGCTTGGAATTGAAAGCAGTCAAGGCCTTGATCGGAGTAAATGGAGGACGGAGATGGAGGGGGCAAAAGAGATGGACCAGTTATGGGAAACCAAATGACAGGTACTTCGTGTTTCTTACCAAGTTCCACTACAAACCTTGCTTGCTCCGGGTTTTGGGGCCCCAAGATGGCACATACTGTTCTATTCTTTATCAGATAGTAAGCTGCTTGCATATATAATCAAAGGTTGTCTCCCACTTCTATCGCCTTGACCTCTCCATGTATGTTAACATAAAATAAGCCTATTTTGTCAGATGATAGGTCTACTCTATGTTAACTTGAAGAATCAGGGAGACAGGATGGGAGAGCCAACAAAGAAAAAAAAACCATATTAATAAATAAAATGATATCCCCTACATTTATGACTATCTAACATTTTAATGAGGGAATGATATTTCAATTAGGATCATAATGTTAATTTAGTTTTAACTTGGATCCAAAATTTTTTTGAAATTTTAGTAAAGGGCTTCTTGTTTTTTTTTTATAATAATCATAGCATTACATAACTAACATTTTCCTCTAAAATATTCCATGTTAAATTTGAAAAAATCAGCTGCAAATTGAATTATTTTATACACATAAACAGTAGTGAATTACGGATGGGGAGGGTCATGTTTGCAACATATGCAGTCAAATTTTCACATTGAATTCTTGAAACTTAAACTTTGATATTTTAAAAATACGTAATTGATGGCGAGCTTACTTTTATTATGAAAAAAAAATAACATTTGATGAGGCCAGCTGATAGCACTATGCCTTAATGACATTATTATTTCATTAAGCTTAAGCTAGGACAGATTCGAGCACTATCTTGTCTAATTAAAGTATGCCTCTCAAAGAAGCATTTTGCATTCATACAGACCCAAACTCAAGACTTTTTGGCTAAACAACCAAAACCCCTCCTATAAGGATGAAACACTAGTTGGTGATCTCACTTATAATTTTTTTTTTTTTTATGCAAGTAGGATGAAACACTAGTTGGTGGTCTCACTTATAATTTTATTCAGCTTATATTCAGAAAAGAACGAGGCTTGAGCTCGCTTTTTACATCAAACTGCAAGCCCAGGAACCCGAAACAAGCTAAACTTTTCGGTGTGTGCTGTGGGTGGTTTTTTGTAAATTTCAGAAGATATATGGAGTGTAGTACTGTCACCTGCTCTTTCCGCGGCGACGACGTCGTTCCGAGGAACATCCTGGACTATAAGTTCAATCCTGGTGGCTGTACGGTTATTAGTGGAATAGTAGTCTTCGACGGCGAAGATGAGGCTGCGGCTAACTTTGGAACCAAATGTTGAATTCAGATCAAGAATGACGCCTACGGGCACTCCATCTGGTTCGGCCGCCATGGAAGAAGCTCTAAGCCATAACAGTGCTAAGACCACACTCATGCTTGACGCAAAACAAGCTTTCAAGCTTTTCTGCAACTCTGCCGCCATTATTGACCCCAACTATCTCTCTTCTCTTTCTTCATCTCCCTTTTCCTATATATATACATATATGCCCTTATTACCATTATTATTATTATACCCTTCTTTTTTTTTGGACCAGCATATGCCCCCTTTCATTATTATCTTTTGTTTGTTTTTGGGATTAATTTTTCAACCTCTATTTTCTTCTTTTTTTCTTTTTTTGCCAACATTTCAACTTCTATTTTCACATCCCATCTGGATTTAGATTCTCTCCACTTCTTCTCCCATCCTCTTTCTCTCCATTACCTTCTTTTTCCTTTCACAATCATTGGATAATTCCAATAGTTCAGATTTGAAATATTATAAAAATAATATTATTAAAAAAAATAAATAAATAAATTTAAACTGTTAAAATCTGATCTAAATAGTTAATAACTGTAATTAAAAAAATTTGAAAAAAATTTGCTCTGTAATAATAAACTGTAGATATGAGCTGTTCAAATTAGATTTTAATAGTTTAAATTTATTTATCTATTTTTATAATTATATTTATTTTTACAAAATGTTGTAAAATATTAAATTTGGACCATTGAAGTTTTGATCCAATGGTTGTAAAGGGTCAAAGAGGATAGTGGAGAGGAAGAGGATGGAAGAAGATACGGAGAGAATCCAAATCCTTCCCATCCATGCATTTGTACGTTTCAGTGTTTACTTTTGCCATGAGTATCATGACGTTGATCAAATTTAATTCATCATGCTTGTCTACTCTTTCCTTCCTATTCTGTCTTAAAATTTAAAATAAAATATTCTAATTACCTTTCTAGCTTATATCAATGATATAAACTTTTCATCTATTTTAAAAATATACAGTTAAATCCAATCAGTTAACAGTATTAAGAATATTCTAAAAAAATTTTAAAATATTATTTTTAACTAAAATTTATATTAAAAAAATTTTTATGTACTATTTTACTCCTCATTTAAATAAAATTTTAAGCTATATTTTTATAATTACACGAATTTCATTCAATTAAATTAAATATAAAAGACTTGAATGATGTATTTATATTTTTCCAGTTACATAAATTTCATTTAATATATCACTTTCCAATAAAATTATAATAATTTTTATAATAATAAATAAAAAATAAAATAGTACGTTTTTATTGATATAATTTATAAACAAAATAAAGTAGAAAATTATACTAAATATAATATAGCTTTGATCATTCCTAAATTATATTTTTTTTATAGTTACACAAATTTGATTCAATTAAAGTAAACATAAAAGACTTGAATGATGTATTTATATTTTGACGGTTATATGAATTTCATTTAATATACACACTTTTCAATAAATTTATAATAATTTTCATAATAATAAATAAATTATAAAATAGTACGTTTTTATTGATATAATTTATAAATAAAATAAAGTTAGAACATTATAGTTAATATAATGTATTACCTCCGGTTCTAATTATAAGGGCTAGTTGACTAATTTGAGGAGATTAAGAAAATAAGTTAAGTTAGTTATTTATAATAAATAGGTATTATTTTTCTTAAAATATCCTTGTTAATCAAGTTTATTAGTTAAAAGTATCATTATTAGAGGGATTACTTTAGAAAAAAATGCACAAATATAGGAAATAAAGTGGATTGGGATCTTATAATTAAAACTAAAATAAAAGTTAAACGAGATCTTATATTATAGATAGGAGATAGTGGCTTCTATCAATTCCATGCTTTTAGTTAATTAAGGGTAAAGTATGTGAGAAAGTGGGGGGAAAAAGTATCATCGTGAGATAAGTTATTTATAGGGAAAAAGACAGTAAAATACTCTCAAAATTACTAAATAACAAATTAGGATGGGTAAATTTTAAAATCCCAATTCAGACCCCAGGTACCATTTTGAAAATTTCAAATCTTGTAAAATGACAATATTGTCTTTACTGTCGGTGACTCCTTCTATATAGCTATTGACTACTCTATTTTAACTTTTGACAACTTTTGTTTTTAAAGTTCTAATGAATATTTTTATATAGCTATTAACTATACAAGAGTAGTAAATCGCATTACTGGAGTAGTCAATAGCTTAGCAAGAGTAGTCATTAGAATTTACAAATAAATGTAGTCAATAGTTAAAAAAAAGTAATCAATACATAAGAAAGAGTAATCATTAGAGCTCTCCTGACCAGTCACCGGAGTTCCGGTAACGTGTCATCAGAGTTTAAAAGTAAATGTAGTCAATAACTAAAAAAGAGTAGTCAATATATAATAAAGAGTAGTCATTAGAACTCCGACAACCTGTCACCGAAACTCCGGTAACCGATCGCCGGAACTCCGGTGATTGGTTGCCGGTAGCCGGAATTGCTGATGTAGCAGTATTTAAAAAAAGTAAAAAAAAAAAGTAAAAGAGTATTTGTGTAATTTTACAAAATTTGAAAATTCCAAAATATTACCTGGGGTTTGAATTGAGATTTTAAAATTTATCTACTCTCTTTTGTCATTTAGTAATTTTAAGGATATTTTAGTGTATTTTTCTCTTATTTACATTGCGTGAGAAAAGTTTGATAACGAATATTCTCACTTTTATCATAATGCTTATCCACCTTTTTCTCACCGTTTCTTCCTCATCAGGCGCAGCCAAGCAGCACAAGACATAATAGTAGCCCTTTTGAAGAAGACATCTATCTTTAATTTATTCGTTTATTTATATCAGTAATTTAGATACATATATACAATAAATCATGCGTAACCTATGAATGATTTGAAAACCGGACCAGACCAGTCCGGCTGGCTTCCGGCCAGTTTATTGTTGCCACTTTATCGGCTTGGTTCACAGCTTTGGACCATCTAAGGAGTTGAGCTGTTCAGAGCCGGCCGGTAGCCAAAGTAAAGTCAGGAACCGGACGGCCAGAAAAGAAGAAGGAGAAAGTGAACGGGAAAGAGGGAAAATAGATCGGAAGAAATGGGAAAAGAAGGGAAAGAAAAATGTTGACATTAACACAAATCCATAGCTTTCCTCCCTACCTCCTATCGCCAAATATAAACCATTGTATTATCAAAAATAGAAAGAGGAAGCCACGATGACCAGAAAACTGAGACGCAGGAAAACCAAAGAAGAGCTTCGGAAAAAGGGAAAGAAAAAGAAAAAGAAAAACTTAAAATGTGACAAACTTTCTTTTTGATTTTGCGTGTTTCAAGCATCAATTCAGAACTCTTCGAGAATGTGTCTTGGAGACATGGGAAGGCTGTAGGCAGATTTTTTTTTTTTCAACGTTTGTGTTGAGTCTTATAAATTTTAAGGTTTATTTACAATTATTTAGTTGATTTTTATTTTTATCTAAATAATTAATATAAAATTGAACATCTGTGTTTTTACTATATTACTACACATGATTTGTTGCGAGATACATTGTTATCATATGGGTTTGCTAATTTATTATGAAATGGACTATTTAAGTTGATTTTTAAATTATTTAATAAGTTAATATTTTATTTTTATACATATATTATTATACAAACATAATATTAGTTTTTATTTAGTCATTGTATTATCAGTTTGATTACCGATCTAACGGATTCGACTAGACAAATCGTTATTATTTTTTTCAGTTTGACATTCAATCTAACTTTTAAAATATTGCTATTTATAGTTTGTTCAATACATATTCTTATCACTTGATCTATGTAACTATTCAGAAGTCACACACACAGATGATCATATCTGCATTTTTAGGTAATTGTGATTCATGCTCGCGAATGAATAGCAAAATTATATAATTCTTCAAGACTGGTCTATAAGCATCAAATCTTTTGAAGGTGTGTGGTTTTTTTTTTTTTGGTGAACAGGGGTGCGGGTTTTTATAAGTATTAATTTGGACTTATTTAATTATTCAATTCATCTATTTTTTTTTATTTTTACACATAATTAATTATATATATCTCTCTAATTTTTTTCTTATTATTTCTACTTATTCACTCTATAAATAAGGGTGTTTTAAAAAAATAAGTTGTACTCCCTTTGATCCTTATCATAGGACATCTTCTAGAAGCAATTTTTGATCCTGAATATATGCTATCAACTAACTTATTAATTGTTACTTTCTAATTTTATCCTTATTGTGAATTAAGGTTTAGTGCTTATAAGCTTATCAAACTCCGTGTTTCTCTGCTTTTATCATTTAAGTTTGGAGTAAACTTTAAAAAAAATCAATTTATAACAAATTTAATCTTCACATTTTATTTATTTGCATGTAAAAATTAGAACTTGTTTGGAATAATTTATAACTAATTTTTCAATCGTGATTTACGGAATATAAGATAAGTTTTATTTTAGATTATGTGAAACACTTTTTTTGAGTTGCGTGATTTAATTATGGAGTAAAATACATCAACAATCCTCTATTTAATCTAAATTATAGAGATCTCTATTTTATTTTGAAAACCTACATTGACCTCCCTTAAAATCAAAATATATATTATAAAAAGCTTTCTTTTAGTTTTGAGATTAAAATTTTATCTACCTAACCATTAGTTGACCATTAAATTATAGTGTTGACCCATTATTTTAACCAAAATGCCCCTCTTTAATACAAATATTACTTAATAATTATTATTTAGTCATATATGATACTCCTCCGGTCCTTAATATAGGATCCAATTCTTGAGTTGGTTTTGGTCCTAAATATAAGACCCATTTTTCATATATATTAATTTTCTCTAAATTACCCCTATGGATACTCCCTCAATCATAATCAAGTAGAAGAGGGAAATGGGGTATTAAGAAAGATGATTATGGTGTTTTAGGAAAAATATATCACTTTTCTTATAATTAACTAACTTACCTAACTTCCTTAATATAATCAAATTAGTTAAATGGGTTTTATATTAAGGACCGGAGGAGTACATCCTTATTTGAAATTAAAAAATAATTTCAATACATATTTTAATATTTTTTGTTATACCAATTGCCATATTATAAACTTAATTAATTTTATAAATACAAATTTTCATTTTGCAAT